CTCGAATGAACATCACGCGAATTTGCGACGGTGACAGTGACGGATTGAAATAAAATTACAAGGAGACTCGCGGCGTGTCGCATAGATACATGGAGGAAAGCGCAAACACGCTGTCATCGTCATCTTTCAATAATCAAAACATCCCGAGAAGCGTCGCGGAGAAGGGATGAATTAAACTCTTCCTCTCCCCCTCCCTGGAGATCGGATGGCTCTCGGAGGCCTTGCCGGCGGGCAAAAGCGCAACGTTACAAGCCGTTTCAATTCTTTTCAATATACTCCGCCGTACGTTCAACCGTTCCCAACTAAGCCCACTTGATGCTCGCTGAAAAAACAGCTCGGAGTACGCGCTGCAAGCTACAAGCATCGCGGCGTAACTTCTCCCTCACGCGTCACCGGGTTATGTAGCCTCGTGTTCCTCTCTCGTCACGACAACGCCGACGACGACGACGACGACGGCGGCGGCGGCGGGAACGAGGAGAAAAAGCCTCAGGTCGGTGCGCGCGCGTCTCTCATTCCTACAACACCCCGTTCACCCTGTTATTGCGTATGCATCATAAATCCGTTATTCCGCGGACGTGTATCCAGATACACGCGTACGCGGTTCGCCGTCGTCTCTCGTCGGCACGACGTAAATTTATCAGGACGTGTGTGCCGCGGAGCAGATACGGAATCCACGTGTACGCGCGCATCGTCCGTCGTCGGCGCGCTCACTATGCGCCGGACCCTAATATCGCTGGTCACGAAAGGGCGTGAATTATTCGCTAGCGCCGGACGCAACGCGAACACCACCACCGCCCTCCTCGCAGCTTGCTCGTCCTGGCCCGGTTTCTTGGTCCTATAGATCCGCGAGAGAGCCATTCCGCCCATATAAAAGCCATAGCGATAGTCACCGGAGTGGTGGTACCCCCCCCCCGCTGCCTCCTCTCCCCCCCTCGCCCTCCCCGGCTGCCGGTCGACCCGACACATGATCGATGATTTAGTGTCCATCCGCGGACGGGTGTTCTTTTTACACCGCGTGTTCGATGGCCTCGCGACACAAGTAGGGCGGTTCACCCCCGCGGGTCATCTGTCAGCTCGACCACGAAAATCAAGTTAGTCGTGCGAGCGAGACGAGGTCGCCGTTGAGCACGAAGAAGCGGCTGAATTATCGGCCGCTCGACACAAGAACGTTCACGGAGGGATTTATATGCGATCTCGTCGGGAGTGGTATTAGACGGATCGCGGAATCTCGATTCTTCGCGAATCGCTACGGTTGCTTTCCTCAGCGGTGATGTCGCCGTGCGTCGCTCGGATCTGTTAGGTCAATCGGAAAGTTCCGTCCATCTAACGGCAAGTAGCTATAGCTAGAACTGTCGTTAATCTCTAATGTCTAAACGAAGCTTAATGGTTTGTTTTGACATTTGTCAATAACATTCAGTACATAAAGGTACACGTTTGCATCAATAACATTGTTTTTTACTGCATCGAAAATGTCGAAAGGAAGGGTTGCGACGAGGCCGGTTTTTGGCCCCCTAACCGATCAAGTTCATATTATGTAAAATTGTTCTTTTATATGTGCCTCATAATACCTTGAAATGATTTGCCCATTGGATTTTCCATTACAGAGAAAAGTGGGCCTTCATGATTGCGTTTTACATGGGATTTTCATCATCCCGTTACATATCCCGTTACATATCGTTACATATATATTTAACAATGTTATAATTTTACCCCGTTCACGAAACTTTCGAAAATATCCTGTATATGTGACGCATAATATATATATCAGAATGATGAACTTAACGCTTTGTCCACACCCTGAATTAAATTAAATTAAATTAGATATTATAATAGGAATACGGTATCTACTAGTAAAAGATGCGCTGTATGACGAAGAAAAGTTATAACAAGATGTTATAAGTGCTAAAATGCTATTTATGGAGCACCAAACTCAAGATGGTATCATTTAGATGGGGTACTGTTTTAATACCAAAAATTGCTCTGAAGTAGATCCCACTTTTTACAATCACTCTGAGACTTCACACTGCAGTCGTACGACTTGCCAAAGTGAGATTAGCCGCATGCCACATCATATAAAGCCTCAGTTTGTAAGCGAATATTATACGAAAGTACTTCTTCTTACTCCTTGAATGGCCGCGTTTCCCTTTCGGAATCGATACAGCCTAAATTCACACTTAAAAAGTTTAAATTCCCGTTCAATAAGTTTAACTCGACAACCTACATCGGATGATGCAATGCAGTGCAAGATGTAACAAGCACGCAGAAAACAAAAAATACTTGAGTGACGCAAACACGTCCTCTCACTACGACGGCTCAGCACCGACTTTTTATACGAAAGTAGTATGTAAATAGTTTGTACTTACTCGTAGGGTGTAGTACAGATTAGTACAGATTAATACAGATACAGAAAAATGGATTTATTTTGACAACCCCAAACGTCGAAAAACTATTTGCGATCCCGGCCAACTCTCAACATCGACGCCAAAGCGGAATATCCGCGGAAAGAAGGCAATGCTCTGTATTTGGTGGGATCAAAAGAGTGTGCTGTATCATGAGCTGTTAAAAAGTGGTCAAATAGTCATAGGGGATCTCTACAGAGAGAACAAATGATCCTTTTGAGCCGAGCATTGCACGAAAAATGACTAGAATATGAAACAAGACAGCATAAAGTGATTTTGCCTCATGACAACGCTCGGCCTCACGTCACGAAATCTGTCAAAGAAACGTTAAAAGCACTTCGCTGGGAAGTGTTACCCCATGCGGCTTATTCACTAGATTGTGCCCCTTCCGACTATCACTTGTTTCAGTCGATGGCGCACGCACTTGTTGACGAATGCTTCAATTCTTATGAAGACGTCGGAAAATGGGTCTCTGACTGGATAGCCTCCAAAGATGAGTCATTCTTTCGCCGCGGAATTCGCTTGCTGACCGAAAAATGGGAAAAAGTCATCGCTAACAATAGACAATATTTTGATTGATGTATTTTTTTCATTTTGTTTCTTAAATAAAGCTATACGTTTGCAAAAAAACGGACGGAACTTTCCGATTGACCTAATAAATCGCGGCACGGAAAACGCGAGCTTCGTGCCGGGAAAACGGATACTCGTCCGGCGGGCTCGTCCACCCCCGCTATGATTTCATCTTCTGCTATCACAATCGCGTTTGAAGCGCGCGCGACACCTCGAGCGCACTTTTATCTATCATCGAGAAACTCCCTCCCGCTCGTGCGTGACGCTCGATTATGCGCGGAATGCATGCCCGTGTATGCTAATTCCTCGGCAACTTTCATCAATTAGTGTCGCATAATGATACGTAACTACGCTAACTACTTTCCAAGAAAAAAAGTCGCATGCTAATAAACAACTTTGTGTGTATTTACGCCCGGAACGCTCGCGACGGTTCTTACGAGCAGAAATTGGATCGCGTACGCACACTCGACGCGGAGAAGTGCAAAAGTTTCGTCGAACGTCACGTAGACGGCATGCCCGAGTAGCGAGCGCGATGTGTACTCGGGACTGTCAATAGCTTTTAAATCAATACTCGACGAGTGGCTCATTCCGCGTTGTGTGTGTATGAATGTATGCGTATGTGTGTGGGGGGGGGGGAGGGGGATGCGTTCATTGGAATTTCACAGTGTCTTGCGAGGGAGGACCTCGCACTCGCGTCCGCGTTTTCAGGACGCAAACTAGAGCTGCTCAAAGCTCGAGCGAGATTACATTTTAGGTTTGCACGATGAAGTAATATATTCCCGTGAAAATATTTATGCAACGAGTCTTTCCGGCGGAAGAGTGATTATCGCGAATGGAGCGGTTTCATTCTACGAGATTGCGACGTTTACTCTGTGGGCTGCGTCAAAACTGGCAGATTTATACAGATGTAAGGACGCACAGTTGTGTGACTTAGGGCCCTCGCGAATAAGACGCGTGCAACCGCGATCGCGAGTAGTACAAATTCAAACAGCGTTCGTGGCACCGACTGTATTAAAGGAGACTTTTCGAAATCCACAGATTTATGCGGCTTATTTCCATGGAAAGTATACGGTAATGTAAAAAACATTCGGTGAATTATTGAGGCAGGAACGAATGTGGGGCAGATCTTGCAAAGCTCTCGGCGCGGTCCGTCTTACTTAAACGACTTAAACTTTTAACTCGGAAAGCTCATTCTTGACGCCGAGAGCTGCGCGAAAGGAACGAGCGATCCCCGATAAGATCTTCAGGGTCACTAAGAGATCTCGAATGCTTATTCATCCGCATATACCTTTATATCGGCTTACACGCTGTTCATCCATGTGATGCTTCAAGTATCTGCATGTTCCTATCGACTGGCGAACTCGCGTCTCGCAAATACAATATGCTCGCGATACCTGTTGTAAGGTGTAAAATCTTTTTAACAAGTGCTCCCAAATGTTCAGCCACGCTTAGCCATGCGACGCTTAGTTTTGTTTTGACAATCAGTTGTATTATATGTGTCGGCGATATTTCTCACGATGGAGAAAATCGAATATCGTTTCGAGACAAAAAACTTGAACCTAAAAGGGAAAACTTCAGCGGAAATCAAAGCCGAGTTGAATTCCCTTTACGGTGACCCTGCTCCTTCGTTTTCAACGGTGAAACTTTGGATTGCCGAATTTAAGCGTGGCCATACATTTGTATTTGATGATAAGTGCCCGGAACACTTAAAAACTGAAACGATTGCTGTAGATATATCTTCTGAACGTGTGTTCAAAATATTACCTAAAGATTTGGAGAAAGCTGACTGCATGATAGGTACTGCGTTTGCTGAATTATATCAATGTCACAATATCTTGCTAAACGATATAATTATAATCTACAACATTCGCATTCGTTTATATTGTTACATTGTTACGTGTAATATTATATCATTGATGTAATATCACTATATTATAATTTGTGTTTACTGGAATATACAAATATTTACATGTACGAGCAATTTATATTACTTTAAAAATATCACAAGTACAATATAATATTTTTCTGTTATTATATAAAAGCACAATTTTAATGTTATGTTTCGTTCGGCATGTAAGTAAAATACACGTACACGACGTACGTCATATAGTCGTCCTTTAATTCTTCCCTATGTACTGTTCTTATCATCAGAAAATTGGGTGCGCGTATATATGTGCGTGCATGCGTGTGTACACGCATGCACGCGTGCGTGTGTAAGAATATATAGAAAATATAGAATTATTGCGAACAAATGTCCAGAAATAAAACCACAATTTAAAAAGGACTAAAAGTAGAATTCCGCAAAGAGATACGTTTACTAAACACAAACATTGCGTGTGGACGCACGTGTGTGCGTCTAAGCGTACATATATGGTTAGGCGCATATGATTAAGCTCATTAGCGTGTATGATGAGGGTGTGTAAACTCAAGCACAGACTGTTTCATCACGTCTTTCTTATACGTTCTCTATGCCACGTTCGACAATCTGTTTGTCTTTTGTTCTTATAAAACAACAATCTTTTGCAACAATACTCCCGAAATCGTCTCACTTTATTGAATCGGAAGTGAATCGGTATGTTCCTTCTCCATGTGAATGCGGAAAAATCGCCGATGTATAAACGCCGGGCCGTACAACATTGCAGATGTAGGATTTTTAGCCCAGCCACAACGCATGATTTCCGGAAATTCCTATTAAACATCCTATTGCAGAGAGAACAAGCAATTATCATTATAGCATATGTCTATAAATAATGAAGTACACTATACTTGCGTGTGATCTTACGATAGATTGAACAGGCTACTTCTGTATTCTTTACATATCCCCGTGCCTCTTATTGTTTACAAAACTGGGCCTAAATGATCATATTTTCGGGCAACTGGTACGAGTCATTCGAATGGTCATACTTTATGTGTTTCTTCAGATCTTCAGACTCGAGTTTGAACTTCTCGTAGCAGTCTTCCTTGTTACACACGTGATCGTAATTGCGCACGTTCTTTCATGTAAAGGGATATTGCAAGTACCGTTTCCCGTTAGATACGTAATTGAATTCGTCGCAATTGTACATGCGATGTCCGTGATCCTGCCAGAGGTAATGTCCCAACTCTTTCCTCCTGTCGAAACGTTGGCTACACGTTTTGGAGGATCTCTTACGTACTTTTTTATGCCGCTTCTTCTAAAATGTTTGCCGCATCGGTCATTCTCCGAGGACAGCTCCGCGTCCGCACATTGCTTTTCTTTCGTTTGTTAAAATGAACACATTGTACGATGTATGAATCGTATGTGCTGCGTCAGATCTCCTTTTATTTTGAACTTCCATTTACAGCCGTGCGCAGGACATTTGTAGTCGTAATTGTTCATGTGAATTCTTCTAACGTGCCTTTGCATGCTGCCCTTATCGTTAGTTTCGTAGTTGCAATGTTCACATTGGTATATGAAACGTTTGTGGACCTCCAAATAGTGACATATCAATTCATTCTTTCTATGGAACCTTTGATTGCAAATGTCGCATTGATTAACAACTTTTTTGCGTTTTATAATATTGCTTTTTTGGCTGGAATGTTTGCCGCACGGATCATTCTCCAAAGATGATTCCAGATACATATTATTGCTATATTTTTGTTTATTAGAATGTATACGTCGTATATGTTTGTTCAGATTCTCCTGAACTTTGAACGTCCGTTTACAGCCTTGCTCAGGACATTTGTAGTCGTTATTGTTCGTGTGCATGCTTGTAAAATGCGTTTGCAACAGGCGCTTCTCGTTGGCTTCGTAGGTGCAATCTTCACATTGGTACATTAAACGTTTGTGGACCTTCATGTAGTGACTTGTCAATTCATATTTTCTACGGAACCTTTGGTTGCAAATGTCACATTGGCTAGGGACTTTTTGGCACTTTTTAATGCTGCTCCTTTGGTCGGAATGTTCGCTGCACGCATTACTCTCCAAAGACGGTTCCAGGTCCGCACTATTGTTTTTCTCTAGTTCGTTAAAATGAACACGTAGTATATGCTTCGTCAGATCCACTTTCACTTTGAACGTCCATTTACAACCTTGCTCAGGACATTTATAGTCGTAATTGTTCGTGTGTATTCTTGTAAAATGTTGTTGCAAGGTGAACTTGTTGTTGGTTTCGTAGTTGCAATGTTCACATTGGTGTATTAAATGTTTGTGGACCTCCATGCAATGAGATGCCAATTCGTACTTTCTACGGAAACTCTGGTTGCAATCATCACATTTGTAAAGCATATTCTCGCACTTTTCAATGTCGCTGCTTCTGCTAAAATGTTTGCCGGACGAATCACTCTCCAAAGGTAATTCCGGGTCCATAATATTACTTTTCTCTTATATGTTGGAATAAATACGTATGTTCCTGGTCAGATCTTCCTGCAGATTATAAACAAAGTTATAACCTTATTAAGGACACGTGTAACCGCGCTTTCGTATAATTATTTTTGCAGAGTTACCTGTTTGTTGGATTCGTTGTTATAATGGCTGCGCTTGCTTTTGTTACGTTAGTAAACCTCCTTGAGACTTTATGAATTCTGTCGCCAAACTGAAGCTTTATTCGCAGATATTACATTGATAAGGCACACTCATATATTTTTTAATGCTGTTCTCTTTTCTTAACGTTTGTCGCACGGATCACTCTTCAAGGATTGTTCTTGTTTCCTTCTATCGATTCTCTCCTAATTGGGTTGTTGCCCGTTTATAACTCGCTCGACGCAATAATCTGTTTGTATAACGGCACCGCTCAATTTTATTTTTCTTCGTGACTCGACTAATTACTGGTACCTTGCAAAGAGACAAATTTCAATGTGCACTCTGTATGTCAAACGAGCGACTGTTTGAAATTATGGGTACTTACAATATCGACAATATCCGAAAGCGAGATATATCAGACAAACAGAATAGGTCACATCAATTCGACTGCGAATAGTGTTTGAATACTTTCTTCATGAAAGAAATATATAAAGTAACCATCGCGAGTCACCAATCATGAACTTACGCGTCATGCGATAAGAGTTAACAACTCTAACACAGTTGTTGACTGAGCGCTCTCTCGGCGCAGAACCATCCGAGGACAATCTTCGAAACGAACTGTTTATATTGCCTCGTTAGGTGGGATATTTAAAAAGAATATAACTCTCTCATGTATTGTTACCTTGTATATATTGTTATATATTTTAATATATACTATGTATTGTTACATTTTTTTTATATTGCACAATGTTATATATTTATATATTGTTATTTTATTTTATATTATTTTTCTTTTACATACTGCTGCCTTTGATATATTAAATATATTAAATATTACAGATTCTTATATTATATATTAGCCCTTATGAAAAAAAAACCTCAATTTTGAGTGTTAACATTCAAAAAACGTTTAACTTTGGGTGCTAAACACCGATAAAAAGCGCTCAACTTTGAGTGTTATATACCGAATAAACGCTCAATTTTGGGTGTACACCGATTGGGGTTATACACCGAAAAACCACTCAAATTGAGTGTAATTTCGGATCGTTAATTGAAGGTTGCATCCAAATGAAGGTTAACGCTCAACGAAAACCTTCAAAATAACACCCAAGAAAACTCTCAAAATAACACCCAAATATTTACATTCACATTTTTTACCCTATATTTCTTATTCATACATACACAAATACATATACATGTCCAAAAAGCATTTTAGAAATATATCTCTAAAATGTTTTTCGGACATTGTATATGTATGGGTATAAGCTATATTATCATTTAAACAAAAAATCACAATGACTTCAAAATGAGTAACAAAAAACTATAAAAACTCACTTTATAATCATAATTAGATCATTTTCTTGTCATTTTGACGTCATTTTGACATCACTTTGATGTTATTGTTACTTTCTATTTTAATGTACAGTTCTAAAAGTCACCATAACATCATTTCAATATCAAAAAAATATCACCAAACCATCACGAAAATATCGAATGACATCATCCTGATTTGTCTTAAAATGACTTTTTTTTATATCATAATTATATTATTATGATTTTTTGTTCTACCTGGGTTATTGTAACAATATATTCTTGAAACCAAATAGAGCAAAAAAGTCTAGTACCACTTTTTCTTCTGACAAATAGTTCGCGAGATATCGTGAGTTAAATATCGAAAAAGTTATCAAGTTTTCCTTAAATATCTCAAAAAATACTAAACAAATAAAAAAATGTTTCAGACAAAAGTTGTTTAAATTAATTGGTAGGAAAAGAAAGTATAATAAAAAATTAGGTTTTCCATTTAAGAAAAGTAATGATCATCTCGGAAGTGATGCCATTTGTAAACAAAACAGTATAGTTGTTTTATGTCCCCCTTGAAATCATACAACTTTTGTTCGAAACATTTTTGCTTCGTTGAAGAATTATTGAGGTGTGTTTTTTAAAATTATACCCTGTATATATATTTCTTTTTCTTTTTATTACATCCTAGTAAAAGCATAAACTAATACAGTAAAATGATATCAATCTCATATCTTCCTAAACAATATAACTATAATTTGCAAAATGTATTATATTACATTTGCATTCTTTTATATTGTTACATTGTTAAGTGGAATGTTATAATATTGATATCACTGTTATGATTCCTGTTTATTGGAATATGTAAATATCCACGTAAACAAATATTTTATATTACTTTAAAAATTTCACACAAGTACAATATAATATTTTTCTATCTTATTATATAAAAATAAAATTTTAATGTTATGTTTCGTTTGGCATGTAAGCAAAATGCACATCTACGACATATGTCATATAGTCATCCTTCAATTCTTCCCTACGTATTGTTCTTAATCTACACAAAAAATTGACGGTGAAAATGTGCGTGCGTATATGCGTGTATACACACACGAAACACATATACACGCACGCACGCGCGTATATGTGAGAAGATGTAGAAAATATAGAATTATTGCGAACGATTGTCTAGGGATAAAAACATAATTTAAAAGGGGCTAAAAGTATAATCTCACAAAAAGATATATGATTTAGGATATTTATTAAATGCGGACATTGTGTATGTGTATGTACGAGTGTGTAAACTTGTGAACAAACTATTTCGTCACGTCCTCCTTCTACTTTCTCTACGCTTGATTCGACAGTTTGTTTGTCTCTGGTTATTTTAGAATGTTTGCCACAATGCTCTCGATATCGATTTGATCAGGAATGAATCGGAATACTCCTTCTCTTATGGCTGCGTAAAAAATTCCGATAACGCCGTACCGTAAACTTTGCAGATGTAGGATCTTTAGCACATGTGATATAGCGCATAAATTCAACATATTATTCTTCCTACTAAACATCTTATTGCAGACAGGACAAGCAGCTGTCGTCTCAGCATATATCTGTAAATGATGAAATAAATTTTACTTGCGTGTAAACTTACCACAGATTGAACAGGCTATCTTTGGATTCCTCCGCACATTCCTGTGCCTCTTGTGCTTTAAAAACTAAGGCTTACATTACCATAATTTTTGGCACCAGTAGAAGTTATTCGAGTGATCATATTTTATGTTTTCAGATCTTATTCGAATTTGAATTTCTTGTTGCAGCCAACCTTGTTACACACGTAGTCGTAATCGTACATGTTCTTTCGTGCGATGTGATATTGCAAGTGCTGTGTCCTGTTAGATATATAATTGCAATTGTTGCAGTTACATATGCGATGTCCGTGATCCTTCCAGTGATAATGTTTCGAATTTTTCTTCCTATCGAAACTTTAGTTGTAGCTTTTGCATTGGTGAGGCGCATACATGTGATTTTCAATGATGCTACTTCCTCGGGAATGTCTGTCACACTGGACATACTTCGAGGGCGGTCCTGAATCGGCATTACTGGTTTTCTTCTGGTTATTAAGATGAGCATATTGTATGTGTCTCTCCAAACACCTCTTTACGTTCTCTATTACAGCCGGCCTCAGTATTTGTGCATATGTGCAATGTGTCTTTGAAAATTGTACCTTTTGTTGCATCCGTAGTCGCAACCGCTGCAGTTGAATATCGTCCGATGTCCATGGACTTTCATTAAGTGATCTATCAACTCTTGGTTCTTATAGAACTTTTGGTTGCAAACGTGGCATTTATTACGCTCTATTTTATATATATATTCCATCGCTATTTCTGCTGTTTCTGCTGGAATATTTGCCGCACGGATCACTCTCCAAAGACAGTCCGGGTCTATAATATTGCTTTCTTCTTGTTTGTTAGAATGATCTCGTATGTTGCTCTTCAGATCCTGCTGCAGATTATAAAGTTATAGCCCTACTGAGGACATGTATAACCGTCCTTGTGTTTTCGCATAATGTACTTTTTACCTCATCGTTGGTTTCGTAGTTATAATATTCACCTTGCATTAAATTTTGGTGAACTTCCATCAAATGATTCGTCAACTCACTCTTACTACGGAATCTTTGGTTGCATACATCACATTCGATATTGTTTTCGATGCAGCTGTTTCTACTAGAATGTTTGCCGCACGAATCACTCTCCAAAAACGGTTCCAGATCTATAATATTGTTTTCTTCTTGTTTGTTAGAATGATCACGTTTGTAGTTTTTCATATTCCCCTATAGATTATACACAAAGTTATAGTCTTATTGAGGATACGTGTAACCGTCCTTGCGCTTTCGTATAATATACTTCTGCAGAGTTACCTCATCGTTGGTTTCGTAGTTGCAATGACTCCATATCTCTATCCAACCTTCGACGACCTCAATGAGGTGATTTGTGAATCCGTATAATTGAAGTTTTGTCCGCAGGAATTACATTTGTGAGACATGTTCATACATTTTTAAATGCTGCTTCTTTTTCGTAACGTTCATCGCACGGATCGCTCTTCAGGGACTGTTCCGGTTTCTTTCTATTGATTCTCTTGTAATCGAGATTTTACTCTTTTACAACATGCTCCGCGCAATATTCTGTTTGTATAATCGCAACGTTCAACTTTGTTTTTCTTCGTGATTCGACTAATTACTGATACGTTTCGATGCGTGCTTTGTATGTTCAACGAGCGACTACTTGAAATTATTAGTAACTGTGATTTTACGGTATCCAAACTGATATTCACAGTATCCAAAAACAAGATATCAAAAAAACAGAAAAGGTCGCGTCAAGTATACGTTGCGAAACAGTTTGAACACTTTCTAATGAGAGAAACACATGAAGTAACCGTTGCGAGTGCCCAATGACAAACTTATGCACGATGATTGGTTATGATCAGAATCAAAATCTGCGGTAGTTGTTGAGCGAGCGCTCTCTGAGCGGAGAACAATTCATCCGAGAACAATTTTGAAACGAGCTGTTTATATTGTCTAACCCGGATAACTTTGCAGGATCAAGTTTTTATGAAAAACTGTAAAATACAAAAGTTGTAGAAAATCAAGTAACGGACTTCATGGTGACCTTGAGTTTTGTTAATTTGATGATTTTGAAATTTCCAAAAGTCAGTAAGTTAACAAAAGTCAGGGCACTATTGTAACAATATATTCTTGAGACTAAATAAAGCAAGAAAGTCTAGTATCACTTTTCCTTCCGACAAATAGTTAACGAGATATCGTAAGTTAAATATTGAGAAAGTTATCAAGCTTTTCTCAAATATCTCAAAAAATATTAGGCAAATAAAAGATGTTTTAGACCAAAGTTGTTCAAATTAATTGGTAGAAAAAAAGCAGTGTAATAAAAAATAGAAGTTCCCATTTAAAAAACGCAAGTTGACCTTCAAATGACCTTCAAGGTCGAGGTCAAGATCAAATTTGAGGTCATAAAAAAACAGAACTTTATGAACCCTAAAACTTTTGCTCGCGTCATTTTTCCCTACAATGCATAGCTTCTGAGATAGGGGGGTCCGTTATTTTTTAAAAACTTGGTATAAGCATATTATGTAAAGATCAACATTTAATACTTGAATAAAAAAGAAGCCTGGTAGGAATAATAACGCATTATGGAGCAGAAGAAACATCGAAAATTCTGATACGAAAATGTCGAAGTCTCGATCATTTCGGAATTATAAATGATCAAAGTTGGTCAATGATGTTACATACATTTCTCGCGATTACATCCCATTACGCGTAACTACGCTTAACCACGCCTAACTATGTGTAACTGCGCATAACTACGTTAAATCATATATCGTACCGATTTGTCATTTGTTATGTATAATTTTCGTGATTGATGTTCATGATTCCCTGCTGGATTTATCTTTTGCTCGGTTACATATAAGTACGATATTACGCACAATATTAATTAACTACGATGTTAACGAATTGATCGCTGATGATAAATCGAAATTACTGCACGCGAGTTATCTGATAAATAAAATATCAATTCTGGAGGACCCGAAGATTCGATTCAGAAGTAAAAACGACCTTCCTGCAAAAATCGGTAATACATTTAATCGGAACAGACATTTCTTTTCTGTTAAAGTTTTCGACTCTGATTAAGGGGACTGGAAGGTCAGATTGCTGAAAAATCGTGCTTGTTTTTTATAATATCTTACGACGAACTGAATAAATGTGCAAGAGTGAAAATTTTAAGTACATTTATACAACATACGAAGAGTAAAAAATTTTGTTCATTAACAAATACTCATATAAATATACGACATATATAGTTGAAATATACTCTCCTTTTTTTCAAGTCGTCGGTTTTGCAGTAATATCTTGGCTCTCGGTGATCCGATCAGAGCGAATTTTAGTTAAAAATCTTGAGGACGTTTATCATTATCCGGTGAACTACTGCAAAATAATCGAACAAAATTAACAAAATGGCAGATATTATTAGGAAAAAATTCAAATTTTTCAGTTCTTTTACAATAAAAAAATTAATATCTCAAAATGAAATATTTTGACGGAGTTGTCCATGGTTCACCTGAGATCCAGATGTACAAATATTATTGCTTTAAAGTTTCAAAGCGATACGAAGTTCAGTTTCGGAAAAATCATTGCAAAAAGTTGAAAAATAAAGTTTTTTGTTACTCATTTTGAAGTCATTGTGATTTTTTGTTTAAATGATAATATAGCTTATACCCATACATATACAATGTCCGAAAAACATTTTAGAGATATATTTCTAAAATGTTTTTTGGACATGTATATGTATTTGTGTATGTATTTATACATGTATTTGTGTGGCCGTGAACTGTGCTATATCCGAACTAGAAAATCATATCCCTGATTCGTCAGAACGATCAAGAGGTCGCTCAATTAGAACGAATTAAGAATACGAAGATGCTTTGTACGGAAGTATACGCGGTTCGAACATGCACCTCTTTACATCGAATAAGAATAAAACAGCAGTGTTACCTAACCCTTCGAATGCCCCGAGACTCGCAGTGATCACAGTATGTAGGGATGCAACGATTTCTCAAAATATCGATAACGATATTATCGTCATTCAGAACCATCGATAACGATAATATCGATAATTTTGAAAAATATCGATATTTATATAAAAAAGATGTATACATATAGGGGTATGCATATAAAGGGTATGCATGAAAAATTTGAAAAGATCTTTTAAAAATTTTTATCTTTTATTGTCGTTATATAATTTATTGTCGTATTCTTATTAGAAAATATATAATGAACCGCAGTCGTTTGCTGGATCACCACATACATGGAGCAGGAGATCTATCACGGTTCAACGATTGAGGTAGAAATTATAAAAGTGAGCGAATTTACTAGACATCGAGCAATTACATAATATATATTCTAATGAATTCACTCACTTTTGTAATTTTCATCTCGGTCGTAGAACCGTAATAGGTCCCCAGAGCTATAACTGAAAAATACGAAGATCAGTAAAATTCATATCGATATGTCGATTTTATCAGAGACAAAAAAATATCGATAAATATTCGATATTTATTCTCTCTCAATATTTCGATATTATCGACTTATCGTTGCATCCCTAACAGTACGACGATCGCGATCATAAAATGTCGTAATCGCCCTCGCGCGTGCTCTGATCAATTTACAATAAAACAGGAATAGAGCGTGCATTTTTCCCTCGATCCGTGTTTACCCGTACGCTGAAAACCGTTATAGCCGCAAAGCGCGTCGCGTATCAACAGGAAAAACTGCTTTATAATTGTTGTATAAAATTCGTCAATCTAATTGGCATATGCTTTAAAAAAAAAATATATATATATGGCTGAATCCAAGAGCATACACCAATCAGATTTACGAATTTTACAACAATAACAAAGCAGCTTTCTCTGCTGAACGTAGCCTACGTGTATGTGTGTGTATATATATATATGTTTCGAAAGTCACGTAACCTTTGACGCGCCAATCGCGCGCTTGAAAGCACCGATATATTATCCGTTTGATTATTTAACGTTATAATATTAACATGTCACGCATTTGTAATTATTTGACTTTATATTAATTTAATATGGCTATTCAGTGTCAGTTGCGTTTATCGCGATCTTACGTGTACTTTCGGGACATGGAGAATGATATTATCGCATCCACACACACTCGTGTGCGAGTTATACACTTAGCGCAATGTTTAAATTATTTAACGATGAATAATTCACACTTTTGTGGGAGGAGAGGCACGCCGATCTAAATCCTCCTCCCGCAAACTCTAACAAGCGCCAGGGGCGTATATTTACTCTCGCACTTTAATGCTTGAATTATTCATGGCCGAGTAACCAAAACAAGGCGTTGTTCGCTCGGCACAAACATTCGTGGGGACATATTGCAATGGAGATAAGACGGTAACTCATACTTGGCTTTCGCGCCTTGCCTGTCCGTGGCGAGTGTCGCCCAAATCATGCGACGATGTGAGCTATAGCCTCCGAACACGCGGGCTATCTTGCGCGAAGAGAACTTCATTAGATTAACCACTTGCATTATATTACAAACGCATTGCTGTTGTTGCTTTTCTCCGAAATACTCAACATTTCTCACACCGGCGAGTCTACTCGAATAACACGAAGTGTAGATTAAATTCGGAGGTAAGATCCCCTTCTTCGCTTTAATCGCCGCGTTTAATTTAATTGAAGCGATTCCGATATAATCTTCCACTTTTAATGAAAGTGGTTTGACTCCAGAATTATATCCGTACGTACGCACATATACATACATACACATTTACAACTTACATACATCGTATAAATTTAAAGAGGTCAAACACGTCAGATTAAACACACTTGGATTTAGAAGAGAGATATAAATTATATTCTTCTTTTACTCAAGTTGTAACTTTTACCGAATTCTTTAATGTAACATTATTACATATCACACGTACACACACACACGCGCGCGCGCATGCACACACACACGCACATGCAATTGATATTGAACAGAAAAGCATATATTTGTGAAATAAATTCACTAAAATATAGCAGAAATTTAGCATTAAACATTCTTGGAATAAAAAATGTTTCACAATAATTATAGAATTAAAATATCTAATACAGAATATAATTAAAAACGTAAATATTAATAACATGATTTAAGAGTCTAATATTTCTACTTCCTGAACAATAGAGAAAAGTTAAATCATGTTGAAATGAACATTATATAAACATAATTTGCATGAACAAACAGCACAGTGCTTTACAATAGTAACTTTCAAAATTTATTTCCAACATTCTAATCATTTTTTTATATGCGATATTCATTTATTAATTTTTTCCTTAAAATACATACTAAACATCTAAAAATAGGATACTGAAACAAATAAAATTACTAATAGGATTAAATGTAATTTTATTTTAATTCAAGTATGAATGAATATAAGTTCCTTAAATTGATATACATCAATTCAAAAACATCATAAATAAACGTTTTGTAACAGAAATATTGTTTTAAATGTAAAATTCAATGCAGATTAATTAAACATGTAGTATGTTTCTACAAAAAGAAAATATAATGTACATAATGAATAATAAACTACATGACTTATCGAATAAAAACTACATACGTACGTAAACAAAATTGAAAAATAATCTAAATGTAAAATATGCGCAAAGATCAATTAACAATCTCAATATCAAAACATATAATATGCACATAGTTATATTATAGAATAGAACATAAAAATAAGTCTTTAAGATAAAACACTATAAATATTTTGTAATCAGACGAGGTTCTCTTATTTGCGAAAAATTAAACGATATATTATTATCTTGACAAACAGACTCATCTTCCTCCGAGACAGAAAATTTGCCTGATGGCACCTCAATCTCCTCTAAACCTTCTGTAAATAACACAAAATGGTATCTTAATTTATATTAAATTAATATTAAATATTTTGTATAGTATTTTATATAGTAGTTAAATATTTTATATAATATTGAACCATGTCTGTATCATGAACAAACATAATTATATTTATCAAGTTACTTACTGATTATCTTAAAAATATATGTTGCAGAATCTGTACAGGAACTTAATACCTCGCCTATAATAAAATTGGATATCTGAGGTGTATAGTCATCAGCAAGTTTTAAAGTCTGCAAAAAACAGTAAATACTATACAATAATAATATATAATATACAAGTGAATATTATAAGTGACTGATAATAATATAAATGAGATATTATAAATGAATATTATATAAAAATCTTTAAAAGCATTTCATGTGCATATATGATATATGATATGATGGGTGATATATACCTTAAAACTAATAATATCTCCAACACGTGGCTTTCTAGTCATAACTGGAAAATTTTCGAGTGGCAAATTTAACAAATCTTTATGAGCATACATCTTTCTACTAATGTCTATGGTACATACACTCTTCTCTATACTATTGTCACTTTTAGTTTTTTTCAAATGTTTGATACACTTTGCCTTTTCTTCCGTCGGGCTTTCCATATCAACTTCTATCGCAGATATTATAGGTGTTTGGAAGTTTTCTGTCTTACTATTATCTTTTATTTTTTTCGTAAATGTTATTGGAGTAGAACTTTGTCCTAACGCTAAAAGTGTAGAGAGACCCTTGGATGTTAATTTGCTCGTATGAAATTCTACAGAATCATTTGCTATCTCAAGTTTATTAACATGATTCTCCTTTTGTTCAGTATCACTGAATCTTATATGTTTTCCAGTGGGTATAGTCAGAGAGTTAATAATTTTTGGTTTCTTCGATTTACTCTCTTCTTTTGTATCTGAAGATGATACTTCAAGGCTGTTGTGCTTGTTATCAAGGTTAGTTTCTTGAGGATTATTATTTCTTGGTTTACGTTTTCGAACTCGCTTTCTCTTTGTAGCAGAATCTATTGTATTACAACTTTCACTTATATTACTATACTCCATAACCTTTGAATCTGCGTCTGCTTCTATATCATCAATTGCAGTAGTAAACATTGCATTTGCTGTATTATTATCTAAAAATAAATATAATTCATTAATTATATTATAAAGATTATTCTATTTGTTTTAGTGCAATATAAATAAAATATACTAACATATCAAAGCTGAATCTGTATAATTCAAAGGATCTTCAGATACATCTAATCCATTACTTGTATTTATTTCTATTTTCTCAGTCGTAGCATCTGTTGTTTCGACAACCTTATTATGTGAAATATTGTTATATGCTTTAGTCTTAGAGAAATTTTTGTTATTATTAGTATCTGGTACAGTAACTACTGCATTTAAAACTTCATTTTGTATGCCAGATCCAGGGATTACTCTATAAGAATAAGATTGTAAATTAATTACACACAAATAATATTAATGAGTAAACGCATAAAAACTATTTGAACTAAACATATATCAAAAGTTAAGTTTAAAACTTTGTATTAAATTCAATTATACTTACTTGATTGTCTCATTTTCGATGAGAATGCGAATATCCTCCATCGGTGGTAGATATTCGGCATCGTTCAACAACAAATGAAACGGTTCTCTTATGCCAAATATCTTAGTGATGTGTTGTTTGACATGAATAACATGTTGAAATTTTGTTAAATCAACAAAAATCCAACAGATCCGACGCGCATCGTTAAAAAACTTGGACAAGTCAACTTTCAGTCGAAAATGTGAGCGCGGCATTGTGATATCTTTGCGATTACGAAGCTTCAAAACCGAAATGCGCGATCGGCGAAATACTAACGCGATTGTCAAAACTTCGTTGTCGCTCATTACTCGACGTAACTACTAACGTTGCGATCACGTTGCTCGACTCGAATTCACGTGCTGTATATACACCAATGTCACTCCCGGCATTCATTGGCTGTAAATAATACACGAGCGTCGAATCGATATCAAATTATCACTTACACTTTATATGAATTGCCTTAGTAGTTTGTTCCGCCCGAATTTTCATTTTTCAGTATAATAACGTCGAATTAAACGAATAATCTTCATCTATCTAGTCTGCATGATTCGATCGTGACAACGATAAAGATTTATAAAAAATCTAACCTGTTGCTGAAAAAACTGTAATCGAGCTCAATAATAAAAGAGAAGAGTTTCTTTTTCAAAGAACTTTCTAAATTGGTGAATGCTAATCTAATAAGTTAAAATAAAACAAGTATATTTTATTTTAGTCGAACTTATTGCATCAATATTCACAAAGTTTTTCTAATGCTCGTTTTTACTAACCTTAACTCAAACGGTCATTCCAATAAGGTCATTCTACAACGGCTTCAAGAATAAAGTTGAAAGCGTAAGCAGTAAGAAACGAACCAACCAGAGTCGATTATACTTATAATAATCGACGGATAGACTTACCAATCGTATTCGTCGTAAATTGAAATTGACAAACGCCATTGGTCAATTCCGATGGAATAACCAGCCTCTTATAAATTAACCACAGTAAAGCCAGCGGCACACGATGCTTGTTTTCGTGCTGGATTGCTTGCTGGATGAAAATACTGCGTTCTGATTGATGCATTTCCGAAGATGGATGGAAATGCACCAATCAGAACGCAGTATTTTCAACCAGCAAGCAATCCAGCACGAAAACAAGCACCGTGTGCTGCTGACTTTAGTAAAAACGAGCATCAAAGGAACAGACTAGAGACAGAGAGAAACTTGAGAGCGGTCACCGCGAGTTGGATATGCCAGGACTCTTTTTCCGACGCGCCCCCTGAGAAAATATATGCACACTACGTTTATTCTGATGGTAATGGCAAAGCATGCACGGTTCTTGTTCACTCTACTTCCTTACAAAGATAGTAAGTTAGAAAAGCACAGACCATCAATCGTGTCTGGCGAAGTTAGCACGTCAAATTATTAATATGAAAAAAAAACAAATAGAGTTCTATCAGCACTTTTTGGTCTTACTAGCGATCTTACAAGATGATACCGCAACTGAATGAAAAAAAACGGTTATTCCCAAATTTCTTTTGTCAAACATATCAAAATACACGTCGACGTCATGACTCTGTATAAAAACAGTTCTCATGCTATAACTCTTTTGAAAAATTACCGCGATGCTTAGAACTGTACGAGGACTAACGAAAACAGTTGCCAGAACAACGAAAAATAGTCAGTATGCAATTTTCTCGAAATAATACACTCCTAAGTTCATATTAATATTAGTTAAAAAATTATTATCGGCCGGGACTCATTTTACAAATAATCGTAGAGCATAGAACTCTACGAAAAGCAACTAAACTCTCGCTAGTAGAAATAAAAATCTTCAGGACGTCGCGACTCTGCGCAACGTGTTGAAACGTTTCATCTCTGTGAAACGCATCTAGAACTGTCGTTAGAAGTCAAGAAATTGATCAACACGTCGCTTTTATTCTGAACGACGTACTGGCACGTTTCATTAGCAACTGTTTAATAATGGTTAACGGACCGGAACTCTTCTCAAATATGATTGTGAGATATAGAATTATGCGAAAATTAACGAGAATTATCACTAGATCTGCGAAAAATAATCAGCACGTTGCTTTTTTTCCAGAGGATGCATTGCAGTATTTAAAATTTACAAAAAAATATTAAATGTTGGAATTTTTTTATGCTTGCATTCAGAGACGAAACTCTTGTAGAACTAACGAGAGCTATTGCCAGATGTTGAAATATTTGATTGCTTCTTATACCTTAGAGGAACAGACGTGCTAACTTCGCGAACCTAGCATGTTATATTTTTATTTTTGATTTTTTGGGTGTAACGTTGCAGAACTATTTTTTTCGTTATAAGAGAACTGTAGAACTATAAAAAGTGCTAATAGAACTCTACTTGTTTTTTTCATATTAATAGTTTGACGTGCTAACTTCACAGACACCTAACGCCGATGGTGTTTTAATTTTCAAGTCCCATGACTGAAAAAGTTCTTATGGAAAGAAGATTTGTAACCAGTGTTTCGGAAACGTCTCAACGTCAGCTATAAGAATATGTAACAAAAAATAGGGGGTTCCATTTAAGATTTTTATGTCAACCTTGATAACGTTTCTGAAGGTCATTCCAAAGTCAAACAATTATCAATATCTGTTCGGAAATGTGCAAGCACTGACATTCATTCACATTAATACAACATGCATATTATTATAATCGTCGAGCCGGTGCTGCGTGGCGGACAGCCTGGCTCCCGTCGGTTTCTCGCAGGCGAGCACGCGGTGCTCTCGCCGACGCCCCGCACGCAGCTACTAGTGCCGATCGCGGCCGCTACGTAGCGCGCTCACCGATCCGCTGCTCGCAGCTAAGATTCGGCCGCCCGGGTGATATAACCGAGCGCGACAGCATAACGCGCGCCTTTGCATGGCCTAACGCCGATTGTGGCATTTAGGATGTCGGATCTGTGATACTTTTATAACTCTGCCCAATCTTTTTTGCCGACCTTGCTATCTAGGTTTTCCTAGTGCAGTTTGGCTTCATAGTATAGATATGAAACCCCCACACTATATATATATATATATATATATCTCGCTGATTTTAATAGAAGACGCACGATAATACCTATGCTGGTTGAGGCTTACGGTTCGATTGTACATTGTTCAACTTTGTTCTCTCCGTTGTCACGATTCAGGAGCAGCGGTGACTCTCTTTTTTCAATACGTCTGTTGATGACGCATTTGATAAATTATGATGCGTAAGAATGAAAACGTATTTAGTGTCGCTATTGCATGAGTGAGCTTGGAATAAGAAATGTATACAGATATACACAGAAACATACTGAATATGTATATTACATATTCAGTATGTTCTGTGTAACTATTTACATACTTTAATATCTACTACATACTACTAGTTTATTACAACATGTCTCTGGTATTTTAAGTTATTCAATGTCAATATGACATTGAAATATGTATATCGATAAATTACCAGCTCACGTCACAAAATGCGTTTCTGGCACTAATTAATGAGAACCAGCTCACATCTATAAATGGACGACTCTGGTATTAATAACAAGCAGCTCATATAAAAAAAGAGTGCCTTTGGCACTAATTATTATACCAGTCCATTTTAATAAATGCTTTTGGTATTATATATTATTGAAAGCATACATTAAAATTTTGTTTCTCCATGCGGGATACTGTCATTCAGCTTTTACTATTCCTCAGCTGTATAGGTCTCGCTGCTTGTCATTTTTTTGGTTATGTATTGTAAGGAATGACCTTGCGATTGCCGATAGCAAGAGACCGGTGACCAATTATGGGGAGGAACGAATTATATTTGTTAAGTACAGGGTTTCTCCCGTCAGGATTCAATAAATCAAAGTCTTGATTAACACACCACAGTTTTTATATTTCTGCCTCAATACTTACCGCACAGAAATATTAACAATATTCCGCTACTTTCGCAAATAGAAACGGTAATGAAAAAAAACACGAATATCATCTTGAAATCATAAAGAATAAGTTTCGATAATATAGCTTCTTGAAGAAACGAGGCAATGAAAGAAATAATAGAAACTTACTAATGGCCTTATAATTAACGAATCATTGAACTAGAAACTCTCCGTTTTACCCGAAGAAAGAATGCTCCGCTTTTTAGTCAGTTCTAGCTAGGCAAGCTCAGCACACGAGAGAGAGCTTTGAATCGCCGCCTACTGATATATAGGGTGTCTCAAAAATACCGGGGACCCCCCGGATAACTTGTAGGATTAAATTTTCATGAAAAACTTTAAATACAAAAATTGTAGGAAATCGAGTAATGGACTTGATGGTAACCTTGAATTTGACTTTGGCCATGATCTTGAAGGTCATTTATAGATCAACTTTAAAAATTTAAGGGGCAACCCCTATTTTTTGTTATACTTTTTTTCTACCAATTAATTTGAGCAACTTTTGTCTAAAACATTTACTTAATATTTTTTTAGATATTTGAGGAAAACTTGACAACTTTTTCAATATCTAACTTACGATATCTCGCTATTTGTCGGAAGAGAAAGTGGTACTAGACTTTCTTGTTTTATTTAGTCTCAAGAATATATTGTTACAATTGTTGAATAAATTGTTACAGTAGTGCCATGATTTTTGTTAATTTGATGATTTTGAAATTTCCAAAAGTCAATTAATAAAATTTAAAAAAAGTCAGGGCGTTGTGTGATCAACTCCTAATGATTCTGCAAGTTCATTTTGCGTCTGACATGGGTCTTTATCGAGTAATGCTTCCAATTCTTCGTCTTCAAACTTTTTCGGTGTGCCAGAGCGTTCTTTATCTTCAACATCAAAATCATTTTCAAAGCGCCTAAACCAATCTCTGCATGTTGTTTCCGACAGAGCATGGTCGCAAGAATTCTATGTGCTTCAGCTGCAGATTTTTTTTGAAAAAGTAATGCAGTAAAATTCCCCGCAAATACTTTTTTTTGCACGAAATTCGACATGTTTGACGCTATGAAAAAATATGTTTACACTTCGGCGGAATAACATATCACTTTGAGCCTAATGCTGGAACTTCACGATGAAGTTGGCTGTAGTATTGCCCGATGCAAAAAGGCTAAGATAACACTATCTGTCGGAAGACAGCGAGAACTTATTCAAGTCCCCAATAAATGTTCGAAATGTTTCTTTTCATTCAACATCCTGAAACATCTCATAAAACATTCATCATCATTATTAGGCTTGTGCTATAATATGTCGTTCTTCAGGGACGAATGTTCGATGTGTATTCACTGGAGTGCCGAATGATTTAATCGCGTCAATATGCGTCGCATATCGAATGTTCCTGAGTTGTTTATCTGTCTCAGTAAACACTTATTAATGCGTTAATATTAGGGTATAAACAAAGAATTGAGAATATTGTCAAATTATATTTACTGCGTTCCATCAGCAATATTCGCAGTTTAAATTGAAACAGACAAAAGACAGCAAATGAAAGACAAAAGGCGCCGGTTGCTATTAGACTTCTGTTTATATGGTGCTCGGAATTACTTTCACTTTTCATGCAATTTTCGGTTCATGCAAGTTTTCTTCCACTTACTTTACCTTTCGCGTATGCACCTGCATACCTGTTGATCATAAACGTGACGGTCACTTTCCCCACCTCAAGATCGTTGACATTGTAGCATCTAAGAAAGGCCTAGCAATAACTTCAAAATTAGCTGTAATCACAGCTATTAGCGTATGATGTGAACGGCTCTGAAACGGGAAGCGCGACTGGGAAGGTAAGAGGAAGTAAGTAGGGGAAACTCCCGAAAATCGCTTGAAAAGTAAATGTAATTCCGAGCACTGCGTTGTATCATACGACATTGTATCATTCGATCTCTTATAATACTGCACATTTTATTCATTAATTCGTAGTAATATAATTATACAAAATCAAATACTGACAATTAGAACATGTTATACCATAGATTTTATACAGAGATGGAGGAAAGAACAACCGTTATATTATTATACTGTCTGTATTCATAAGGTAAATATAAGCTTTAATTACAATTCATACAAGTCTTTTACAATCGGACATTATAGCAGCGTACACCTCTCAACTTCATGTTTCTTTTCCTCGCCACTCGCAGGAAAATACGCCGGAATATTTATAAGAAAATAACATATTCACGATCTGTTTTATATTTAATTATCAATACGCATGTAATATTATCTTCATGTATAGAATAAAATAAATTTTGCTTGCCGAGGGAAATTATATATCCAGGGAGTGAAATCAAAATTATATTTCTTTCAAGTGAGATTATCACATCCGAGTTATCGCTTCCTACATAACCAATCGTGTGCATTCAGATGGAACTCGTAAACTACATTGAAGTCTTAATACTAACAAAACATTGAGTCAGTGGCACACACACACATACACATATGTAATTAATTGTTTAATAGTTATACTAAAGTGCTTAATCATGTTCGTGTAAAATTAAACCCAATGTGGGCTTCAAGGTAGCAAGATGTATGCTAACACGTTATAATATTATATTATTTATATAAATATTTAATATATTTTCTTCTAACGCGAGACGCGATTGAAATATATATTTCCTCCCTTCTCGATAATTCACTTTAATGAAGAAACATATATGGCAATGATTCCAAGAAAAAGAAAAATTCTCGTGTTAGGTAAAGACGAGGGATTAAATTTTATTTCAGAAATTTACTCGTCAAATCTTACGATAGTTATCGACGACATTCCTTAATGTTCCCGATAAAGAATTTGCGTAACAGTCTCTTTGTTATGTACAGTAAGCATCTACTCTTTTTGAAAAATTTGTAGTAAGTGAGAAGTTGATAGTAATATTGAACATATGGTTTAACTGCATATTTGTGGGAAGAGAGAGAGAGAGAGAGAGAGAGAAAGTGAGTCTACGAGACAAACGATCTAACACGTTTTTAACACGAATCTATAACATTAACAAGCACACACAGTTGCTTCTCGTATAGTTTGCTGGTGTTTCATGAAATTTGACAGTGTATTGCGCGTATATTAATTTTACCAATTATCTAGCAGATCACTAACAATTTCCCAATTTCCAATTTGAAACAACCGATAATGTTTAATTAATTGGAATATATACTATATATATATATATATTTCCATACTTATTAAGAATACATATCCGAAACGAAATACACTTTATTCTAATCGCATTCTAATTTGAAAATAAAGTACATTATATGGACAGTATTTACATTGAATTCTTTCCTTCCGAATTTCTTTATGAACAATAGCTGAAAAAGTGTCTTACGGTTAGAGTAATAATCAATAGACGAAACATAAGTGTACAGTCTCACGCTCAGTACATACATTTGAGATATACAAGATATACCAGAAAAATGGATAGTACTTCGGATTAACTTGAAGGAATGACGTTTTTGAAAAAATGTTAAGTACAAAAGTTTTAGAGCTTAAAAATGAGCACCTAGTGATGAACTTGAACTTGATCTAGAGATCAAATTTAGAAGTCAGATCAAGGTCAATTTTAAAATCGTAAATGGAATCCCTATTTTTATTATATCCTGTTCTTCTACCAATTAATTTGAACAACTTTAAAGCATTTTAAAACATTTTTTATTTGCCTAATACTTTCTGAAACATTTAAGAAAAATTTAGTAACTTTTTCAGTATTTAACTCACGATATCTCGGAACTATGTCTAGTTATAGTAAAAAGTATAATACCATTTTGTCGGAAGAGAAAGTGAGGGAATATTAGACGTTTTTACTCTATTTCGTCGCAAGAATACGCTACTACAATAATACGCTAACTTTTGTTAACTTGATAATTTCAAAATTTCCAAAAATCAAGTTAACAAAAGTTAGGGCACTATTTTAATAGCATACTCCTGAAACCAAATAGAGAAAAAAAAATAGAGAAAAAATCTAATATACTTTTTCTTCCGACAAATAGTTACCAAAATATCGTAAGCTAAATATTGAAAAAGTTATCAAATTTTCATTAAACATCACAAAAAATATTAGGCAATAAAAAAATATTTTAAACAAAAATTGTTGAAATTAATTGGTGGAAGAATATGATATAATGAAAAATAGGCGTTTCCATTTACGATTTTAAAGTTGACCTTGATTTGTCCCTTAAATTTCATCCCTAGGTCAAATTCAAGTTTACCACTAGATACCCATTTCTAAACCTTCAAAATTTTGTATTTAACATTTTTGTCAAAAACGTCATCTCTTGAATTCGGGGTACCCATTTTTCTGGTACACCCTGTATATATATATACAAATATATATATATAAATATATATATACACGTATATATGTATATTTTTTTAATATTTCTTATTCAGCATACGAAATTAAAAGTATTCGAAATGTCTAACGTGTCGCGGAATAGATACATAGAACAAGTTGCTTCCCTTTTCAGCCCAATAAGTCGACTCGTGCAATTATATAAATATATTGTAAAAATTACATATATTTATTTACTCGTTCGCGTAATACGGCGACCTTTCATCTCGTTACTTCTTTCTCTTCGTCGTTATCATTTCCCTGATGATACACATCGCAAGTAAACGGACACCTTCGTAGGAATAGTATTTCTCTAATAAATTTTAACAAAATGTGTGTACATCCATATACAAATAATAGGGAGATAAAAGAGCCAATTCTTATGTTATAAGTATGACTAGTAGACGAAGTCTCGTAATATTATCTTGTCGAATTTTACAATGTATATGTGTAATCCATGGTAATAAAAGACCGGGCAGTGCGAAGTAACCCTGAAACACGGTATTAGAATGTACGAACGTCACAATGAAGCTACGTAATTACATAATTCGGAATTATTAACGTTCATATGAGTCCCATAGACGGGTGAAACCGCCGGTATGTTCTTTTCTCTTTCGCTTTTTTTCCTCTATCAGATGATAATAGCTCCAATCGCAGTCAAAAGACAATACGGAAGAGAGATCGTACGTAATGTCATATTATTATGAAAGTTTCGTTTAATACATCTTAATGCAAATAGATATAGTAACAAAACGTCCTTCCCCTCTTCAAATTCTACGTAAAATCGACAATTTCTCCCGACTGATTTCGCAGAGAGAGAGAGAGAGAGAGAGAGAGAGAGAGAGATCCCTATTTTCATACACACACACACACACACACACATATATATAGTTCATATATAATTTTCTTTTCTATATATAAATACGAAGATTATTTCGAATTTTGCGTTCGTAACTCTGTCGGCTGTAACACGATTCGCGTGCGCCTCTGATCCGATTTATCGCTAGTTCGCGACTGGAATCAGCCCGATTTGAACTTTTAATTAAATTTTACCCTTTCTCTCGTCGTGCGCGAGAGCGGATAGAAGTAGTTTCGCGCGGATAGGATCTTTCAATCGAACAAATCTAATTCTCGAACGTTCGATCTCTCGGTTTTACTACGAAACGCGCCGACGTTTCAGGGTCGCGTCTTGCTTGTCATAGCTCTGTCATCCGTCTCGTGTTCGCGGCGAATCGCTGAAGAGCAAATCGCTTGCAAGCCGGTTGCAAAGGAGAGTCATTAATAGAATCCGATATACCTACGTGTATAAAGTGCCCTTCTCGTGTGCTCTCGATGAAACGAACGGTGCTTCGCACGATACCGATCGAAATTGATTCTTTGAAATCGCTCGTTCTCCGAACGGACAGTTATCACAAGGGAGGAAGCGATTACACAAGGTATGTCCACATCGTGCTTCTCTTATTATTCGCATCGCCGGACGTATCGTCGCACTCGGTTCACTCGATATATACCTTTTCGAGGAAGTCGCGCATTCGTGTGCATTTCATCGAAGTCGACGAGAATGTTCTCACAGGTCGAACGAAAGTGCTCCTATCTCTCGGAACGTCGTTTTTCCCTAAGCTATTCACGAGACAAGATTCTAATACTTTTACAGATACCGAAGGAAGTTTCGCGACACACGCGACCCTCGGGCCGACGGAGCACGGTTCGCGTGATCGCCGAGAACGCTAGAGAACCGGAGCTTGCCGGAGGATCTTCAAGTTTCCAAATTAGGTAGAAACATTTGTCGCACGCGCGCGCTGTGTGTCGCGCTTGTTCTCTCGTTCAAGTACCACTCCTCGTAGAAGATCCGTACTTCGACATGTAAGTGAAACGATTGACGCCAGGGGCGCGAGACTCCCTCGAGTACGCGCGTTCCGCGTCGATGTCGCTTGACACTCGGGGTACCGACGAGTACATCGATTTATCGCCGCGACGTCCTGCGCACAGAGACGCAGCCCGAGTTCCGTAATCGGTGCCTCCTCGGTACGTCCACGCGAGACGAGATACCTTAGCGACCGGCCGAAGCTAATCAACCACCTGTCGCGCGCTGCACCCGGACGATTCTCCAAGACGAAATTCCGGCGCTAATCGCGTGCTCATCGCGGGATCATCGGATGGAGGAGGGAAGTCTCTCGCGAGGGTCTCGCTCTTTACGACAGGATGCAGGAGTTCCTTTTGGACTCGGAGCGCTCGCGAATCTGTTGCAGGTGCTGCAGCTGAGCTGCGGACGGTACGTGAGTGCTGCTGCTGTTGCGCGAGTTGTGCTGCGGGGGCGGCAGGGACTGCCGACGGCGACGTTGCAGCGCCGGGCTTAGGTTGTACTTGAGCTTCGCTTGGATCAGCAGCTCCTTAAACACCTGGCTGATGTTGAGGTTCTCCTTCGCGGACACCTCCACGAAGCCGTTCTCCCACTTGATGGTCACCAGGTCTCTCGTACTCTCGGACTCCACCTGTAATTCGTCCTCGTCGTTGTAACGGATGTCAAACGGGGTCGCAGGCGACGTGCGACGCGGAACGCCGTTCGCACGTCGGACGCGCATTCATGCTGATCGAGCCGGTTTCATTTGCATCTTCGGCTGCGCAGCTCGAATGATCTCGTTTTGTTATAAATATTAACAATGGAATTTACATTTCAGTTGCGTTGGATTCTTTCCGCGCATATGCAACGAAATGACACGTGGAGCATGTTGTCGCACGTTCGTATGAACTTGTACTGTTTGGATTTAACTCTCCGGCATTAGAATGAGTAAAAGTTCACCCGATGACATTTTTCAACTGTCGCCACTAGATAGCGACACATTATACAGCAGTGTCCTGCTAGGATTTATAATATTTATAAATATTTTAGACCCTTTCACTGTAAATAAGAAAAGTTTTTTTTCACAGTGAGAGGTTCTTCTTTTTTTAATTGTATATGATTTAAAATTGTTTTACATGCTACAAATTTTTATCAAATATTTATAGTTCATGTACATATAAAAAAAAAAGTGATGAAAAAATTATGGGTGTGAATATTATCATGAATATATTCATCCGCCTTGGTAATAGAAAGTAACAAAAGCATTCTAATATTCAAGAGTTAAAGTCGCGCACACGAATCTTTCTCTCTCTTCGTCATGTGAGTTTGATACAGAGTTGGAAACAGGCAGTTGGAACAGGCGTTCGAGTTAGCCTCCTCATCTACTTTTAATGATGTCTATAAATACCAGAGTAAGAAAAGAGTATCTAAAATCAGACGACGCGATGAATTTCACTTATTCTCAGTATCATGTAAAAGAATCTGTAATTCCTAAAGAATGAGGTAAACACACATTTCCAAGTTAAATGAAAGCGCGACTTTATTTGATGATTTCACGAGGGAAAAAGAGAGCTATTTTAGGAATGTCGAAGATTACGAGGGCGATTGAATTCGATGACCGCTTCGATTGCCATCCGGACTCACCTCCTGCTTTACCTCCACAAGGTCGATCTTGTTACCGACGACCACGATTGGTACGGCGCCCTTCGTATTGAGTATCTGGGCCCTAAGGGTCTTCACCTCGAGGAACGTGTTGGAATCGTTGACGTCGTAGACCAGAACGAAAGCGTCGGCCGATTTGATCGACAGGTCTCTCATCGCGGGGAATTCGTACGAGCCAGACGTGTCGAGAATATCGAGAGTCAAGTGGATCCCGGAAAGGTTAAAGTCACCATGATGCATCTCCTCGACGGTGCGCTTATACTTGGGGGTGAAGGTGCTGTAAAGGAACTGATTGATTATGGCTGACTTGCCGACCTTCGCCGCGCCCATCACGACGATCTTGTGCCGAATCGTGCTCTCGGCCGGTTTTCCGCCCCCGCTATCCGACTCCGTTAGTCTGTCATTTCTGAAATGATACATCGTTTTCACCCGTCGGCGACTCATTCCACGCTCCCTATCGCCGATTGTAAAGCGTCAAGCACATAAAAATTACGCGGCACAAAACTGTATTAAAAAATAGATAAATATTACGTTTAACGGAGCAACGCACGAGATACGTTTGTGATCTTGACGTTGTCAATTATTTGATGTTGTCAATTATTTTGAACAATAACTCTAAGGTTTCAGCCCTCCGTCGCTCGTTGTTTCTTAAAAAGTTATTAACGAGAAAAATTTACTCTTTTGTTCGATATATCCATTGACTTTTTGTCATTAATGTAATAAGGTGTAACTTGAAAAAACCCATGTTTATACGTAGAAGAAGGAGCAGAGCTCCTTCCTCCCCACGTACCTCCTTCCGCCATAGCATAAACTAGGGATGTTCAATTTCGAATAAATTTTTCAGAAAATCGATTTTCTCTTGACAAAAATTGATTATTTTTAATTGATTAATTCGATTTTTACGTAAATCAATTTTTTGCGGAACGCATTATCGTGCAGTAATTAGCAAATTAGAACATTAGCAAAGTACAACCTATCTGAATGAAAAGATTGAAAGTAAATTTGGAATAACGGCCAATTTAATACTAATTTTACTTCGTGCACGAAGTATCGCAAATTTTATTGAAGATAATTTTCAAAGTTCATCTCATCAGACGATGAAGAAAATATTCCATATATTTCGTAAGTTTCATTTTCACTTCTGCTAATTATCGTGTATTTTACTAATGACATTTTTTACACTTCCTATACAGGATGTCCCGTTTGAAAAACGCACCTCGTTAATTCTTTAACGAAGCATTTTCAGCAAAAATGTTTCGGACAAAAGTTGTATGATTTCAAAGGGGACATAAAATAATTATACTATTTTATTTACAAATGGCACCACTTTCAAGATATTCGCTGATCATTACTTTTCTTAAACGGAATTTTTTATTATACCGTCCTTTTCTACCAATTAATTTAAACAACTTTTGTCTGAAGAATTTTTTATTTGTCTAATATATTTTTAGATATTTAATGAAAACTTGATAACTTTTTCAATATTTAACTCACGATATCTCGCTAACTATTTGTCGGAAGACAAAGTGGTACTAGATTAGACTTTTCCGTTTTATTCTAATCTCAAGAATATATTGTTACATTAGCGCACTTTTGTTAATTTACTGATTTTTGGAAATTTCAAAATCATCAAATCACCAGCCCCAGGCTGGTCCATTTTAATCAACAATCATCAAAAATCATTTCAGCAGTCATCGCTCATTATTTATTAAAAAGTTATTAACAAAACAAGTTTACTTTCTTTCCGTCTTTGAGGATTATCTTGACCTTGAGATATACATGTATAGTTAAAGTCACAGCTCTCAGTGACTTTCATATATCTACTATTCATAGGATCTTTGGCACTTTTGGTTGATAACTTTTTAATGAACAATGAGGAATAACTGAAACCTTTCGTTATTCAGGATGATAACCTTGACAACAAATGTCACAATCACGAGTACATCTAGTTGCTGTTTGAAACGCAATATTTACTGAAAAATATTTCTAAAAAAAATAATATACGTCCTCGCAGTACACATTGCCGAGGAGTTGATTTTAATTTCTCACGAATATCTAAATAATTAATTTTCGAAATACATCTGTGAGACTAGGAAAGCGAACACAGATAAATTGAAAAGATACACGAGAGTTCACTGCGGAAAAGCTGATACATCGAGTTGCCGTTTTCGCACGACGAAACGAGAAGCGAAAGATATACGGCGTAGCGAGATATGATAAAAAAACATTCAGACTCGCATCGTATTCAACGAAGCGGCGAAATGACAAGGACGTTCGGTCGTGGGCATTTTGTCAGCGTTCCTCGCTGCAACATTCAAGTCTATCTAGCCTCTTTAAACAGATATAATCGCCATAGATGCCACGAAGCACGACAGGGATTGTTATTAACGGAAACGGAGCGGGATACGATCGCTCTCTGCCAATGGCGGACGATGACGAAGGCGAAGGTAGCACATTCCGTTTAAGAGACAATCATCCGAGAGAGAGAGAATGTTGCTAATGAACGCGAAGGATCTGCCGCGATGCAAGCACGTGTTATTGAATGCCGGTTTTGTATAGGGTGTCCTGAATTCGGGGCGCTATCAGCGCCTCAAGAGCCTTGTGAGCCTCTTATGAGCAGGTTGGGGCGATGCAAAGCGAAATGAGGCAAGGCCATGCGGTCGTTTTTACACGCACCAGATAGCAGCTGCTTCTAAGTATCCGCATCTTCTCGTAATCATCTGCGCTTATTACAAGAAGTCAGACGTGGTTATTACTGTGCACACAAAAGCGGAAAAGCGAGCGTCCCTTTCGCGTGGATTCACCGCGAAATTAAAGCTCGGGCTAAAATCCGAAAGCCGGTCGCGAGGAATGGATAGCGAATGCAGAAGAAAGAGGGAGAGAGAGAGAGAGAGAGAGAGAGAGAGAGAGAGAGTCGCAAAGGAGAGCCGACGAAAGCGAGGAAAAAGCCGCGACATGTCGCGCGGACCCGAGCGGGATTCACGCTGGAAGCAATTTTCCCGCAGCGTGATTTATTACTCGCGAACGCCGGCCTCTCGCATGTATGTACATGGACTTTAAGTTCGCGTCAGTTAGCGAGGAAATACAATATCGAAAATCGAACGCTCTCCACACGTGTATCTGCATACTGCCTCAAACAGCGTTTTCTTTGGCAAGTAAATGGTGTTGCGTGTTCAAAGGAACGGCAAGATTAATATCGATCCTTCCGCGGTCATAAAACTCTCCGTCTTAGGGGACGAGAGACGTGAATCAGCTGATTGCAATTGTTATCACGCATTTCGATGATTTTTGCTCCAACGCACTGTGGGATGTTTGGTCTGAAAAGCTGACCAAAAGCCAATTTTCTTAAAATTATTCCTGTTCTACATGAGTGACTGTCCTAGACAGTTCAATATCTGCGGGAGAATGGGCCGCTGCTTTTGTTCATTCGCGATAACATGAAGTGGTTTGGTTAGTCGGAATTTGGATATTATTCGTATTGCATGCATCGATTCTCATTTTATGACTCGTTTTATAACATAGGATCTTCGATCAGAATTTTAAGGTTCTTAGAAGTAGCAGCGCGAAATTTGTCGTTATGAATTGTTTCGAGGAAGGTATGAAGAAACATTTTAAACTATATTTATTACAATTGAATTGTTATTGACGTAGATATACGATTTTGAAAATGGCATTCAATAATGGTATCCTTTTGCATTCTCGATGTCAAACTCGAAGGATTTATACCGCAGGGTATATCCCTGTTACGTTTCTTGGATGAGATGAAAGAGTAATTTTTCTCGGATAAAATATCAGAAAGAATTAGCTGTGGGAAACCGCTAATGTAGTTTTAGTAATTACTTTTGTTTCCGTAAACGTAAATTAGGTTTTGTCCAAAAGTTATTTAGACATGAAGTTTCTTTTTTGTTTTTTTTTGTTTCATTTTGTAATATGGACATAATCAACAGAGTTCTATTAAGTTCTAACCCGTTACTAATAAATATGAGACCCGTACCAAGAACGAAATTTAAACCATTTTTAAAGGAAACATTGGATATGCTTCTTCTCACACTGAGATCCTACACTAAGAAAAGGAGATATTTTAATAGACGAAAATGATGTTGATTCTGAGGGTGGAATGCACTCATTAGATGAAGAAATTTTGAGTTCGTCTAGTTGAATACTTATTGATGTGCAATATTGTTTTCTTAACCCTTTGAGGCATGTATTTTTCAGAAAATCCGAATTACATGAAAATTTATATACGAGGGTTTCTGAGGTCACTGATGGCGCATCAGATTTTCGTTATCAGATTTTCGAAATTCAAGATGGCGGATCCAAGATGGCGGATACAAAAATTAAAAATCGCGATCATTTCCATGACATCGATGATTCGTAATCAGCGACCTTGAAAGCTAACCAAAGTATAATTTCAGCTATTGTATTTTATGATCCACCATCTTGGAAAATTAATTTTAAAATTTGAACCTGAGATTCGTAATCAGTGACCCAAAAAAACCCCAAATCTTGATTTTGAGCAAAAAATTCACTCATAGTTCGTGGAAAATGTTTTTTTTCTGTAAAAATGTGTATTTTTTGCACTTTGTTTATTTATAATAAATGGACAACTTATACAAAACACTTTTCAACCTTTCATGTATGTTCCCATATCATATAAGAAGCTAAAAAACGCAAAAAACCCGACAAAAATCCCTCAAATATGAAATATTTCATGAAAATGTGAGAATAAATAGATGGTAAGTATACTTACTACTATGCCTCAAAGAGTTAATTATTAAAATATTTTTACATATATATTTGCACACTTTATTTCATGAAGAACTTATACCAAATCTTTATAATGATCATATATATAATTAGTAGCACGTTTTAAACCGAAATTCGTAAAAAAATAATTTTGGCCAACTTTTTGGTACAAACGTTCCATTGTGCAACGGCTCGATCGATTAATAAAAGGGAGGTGACAAACGATCCACGTTCCTTGTCTCTGTATGTATGTGTTATATCAGTGCATACATGTAACACCCTCGCGTTACCTGACATTCTTCGTCGTTCCATCTTCTTGGCCCTCTTTCAGGGGCGACGAAGGCTGCAGGCTGAAACGACGGCGGAACTGATGACGGCCCTTCATCATTTGTGCCGCGGGGTTCCTGGCGACAAAAATTCATGCGTATAAAAAAAATGACGTCTCCTGTGTTATTCTCGTTGTGAAAAAAAAAGCCGCATTAATGATCGCTTCTCGAGTTTAATTCTTAAACCTCCCTCCCCCGAGGGGCGTTGTACATGTAAACGCGCATTGTGAATTTCCTCTTCCTCTTGTACTCGCGGACGGGAATTTATTATTAGTGGTCGGAAAAGGTTCTCGAGCGAGGAAAGCTGATAAAGGCGCATCGCGGGATAACCGAGTTCTGTCGTTTCTTCAGCTTTGTTAACTCTGCGCGGCATCGAGCGCAGCAACGCGAGAAGAAAACCGATACCGTCTTCTCTCCTCGAGGATCTCCCGTTCGCGTGAATTTAACGCATAAAATATGGCCAATCTTCCTTACGAGGCTTTTCACACCAGACTACCCTGTATCACGAAATTCGGCAGGTTCATCGAGGTCGCGACACCCGAAGCGACGTTGGCACCTTCATTCCAATCGAAACTTTCGACTGATGCTCGCGCCATAAAGCGAGTAAATATATTCGACTACGACGGGTATGTTCGATTGATACGACAGCCGGCTGAAACATCGCCGCCGATAAGGCTCAGCTAATCGCATATGTCGCGTTGGATATCGATCGGCATGATTGGTGATTTTAACGACGCGAACCGAACAGCGCGAGCGATACGACACGGCGATGCGGCTTGATCAATCACGCTGGAGCAAACTTGATAAACATGATGGCCATCCCGCTTGTGATTTTGAAGCAACGTAGAAGAACGTTTCATGCGAAGGAGACTTTCATCCGCCATGCCTTCATATTTTATCGTTGCTTTCTCGAGAAAGATCTAAAAAGCGTATGGACTACGCTTTTTAGATTTTAGGTTGCGGCGTAAGTTACGGCGAAACGTACGAGTCGGAAACTCCCGCGGATGTAAAAATACCACAAAGCGACTCGAAGTAATAAGCAATTACCGAATACGGTGGTTTTGAAGCGCAGTTAATCTCGAGACGATACGAGATTGACGTTGGAGAATTGGCCGAGGTAGCTCACAACGCTGTTACATGATGAGATACATGCCTCACGGGTTAACAACTGCACATCACATTTTGCCAAGTATAAGCCATTTGTGTGTGTCTGTGTGTAAGCGCACAGAATGGCGCCCAAGGCGATCCCTTTTCCGCTTTACATCATTAATCCTTTGCGCCGCCGCAAAGTTTATTGAATAGCCGCGGCACGGCGAGACGACGGCTTAAGCCGCCACCCTAAATAATCGAATGTACGTGTTCGACGTGTAAAGCGCGGCACGTATCCGCGCGGGAGTTTGCTTTTATCCCACGATCTCTTCCATATTGCCCCGCGGAAAGGCGTGCCAGCAACACTGATTGAGGAAGCAATCAAGAGCCGCCGGAGAGAGACTCGGGAAACGGCCGCTCGTGTCTTATCTTATCCGCGGCGCAACTGTTTCCGCGCGTCCGGCCGAATGCAAATCCGCTCGGACCGGCGAAACAGGAGGAATTGCGCCGAGTCTCGTGGGAAAACTCCTACGAGAAGCCGCTGTCGCGCGACGCGGCCGAAAAATCGATATTTTCGTGTTCGGCGAAACGGAATCACGCGAGGGTCGCGATAAGAGGCCACTGACAAAAAACGGCACCTGCGTCGCAGATTCCCGCGTTATCGGCTCTCTCTCTCTCTCTCTCTCTCTCTCTCTCTCTCTCTCTCTCTCTTTCTCTCTCTCTCTTTATCTCTCGTCGATGTTCCTCGCGATAGCGCGACTACTTTTCCACCTTGCCGTTCATTTTCCTTTCTTCTTTTTTCTTTTCTTCCTTTTTCCTTTCCTTTTTCAAACGCGTCACGTTTTCTTCATAATATCGGAGATACAAGGGACAGCGTGTGGTGTTCCTTTGTTATCAACATCTTTGCCGGTGGACAATATTTTTCAATCCCTTGCGGGAACGGTCCGGGCAATTCGCCGCGAATAAACAGGTGAATCGGGCTCCGCTCCCCCCGGCCCCTTATCGCTGTTTACCGTGGAACGATAGCCGTAACGTAATTTCCCATTGAGATAACCGACATCGCGTGTGTTACGTGGACGAGGCTGGTCCGGAGGGTTACTCCGGCTCGTGAAGGAACAAGCGCGATCGATAGGCGAGCGCCGATAACCGCTATGCGACGGACTGGAAGCGATATCGCCGAATCCGTCCGCTAACTGACTTTTTCTCAATTACCAATAACATGTGTTTGCGTGCTGGGGCTGGCCGATCGATTCCGCAATCGGACGCAAATTGACGTTCAAGTATTCCAACAACGCGGGGTTATTAGATTCCGCGAGCTTCTTCTTGTATTTAACGTGGCGAGTATCGTAAGACCGCAGTATCTGGGCATTTTGTCCGTCGCGTATCCTCCGTCAGTCTTCAAAGCGATATTTTTATAAGCATTTGACCGCGCTGTGCGACGCGAGGATCCGAAATTTATTGCATTCTTCCCAAATTGTGCCTCGTAAGTTTTCATGGTGGGCTCAGTAATAAATAAATGAGGGACAAAAGAGAGAGAGAGAGAGAGAGAGAGAGAGAGAGAGAGAGAAAACGGGAAAATTAAAGGCCTACGAACAAATCATTCTTTCTTCCTCATTCAATCTCCTCTCGGCGGTTGTTCGCTTCCGCGGAACTCGTTCCGAATTTACCGTTCAGGAATACCTCGCATCAGGGAAAGAAATTACAAGGGTTTCTCGAGCATTCTCACAATCCCCTTTTCCCGTACAGAGACCCGTTCAATAACCTCCTCCGTTCAACGAATCGCAATCGCAACCGTGAGCCGCAGCATGCGGACGGTATGTCGAATATTTCGCCAATCATCGGATAACGTTTGCCTTATGAAGGACTCGCGAAACGTGTGTCCATGCTCCGCGGGTAGCAGTTCCGAGACATTTCCGCACGTGCTGAATCCAAACGAATCCGAGTAAAAAACACGGACTCGCTTGATACGTTCGTCGCACTCTCTGATCCGCCTTCAAATTACAGGCTTCTTCCGAAATCGGTTTCGGAAACTTTGGTTTTGGTTATAAAGTTGGTAGGCCTTAAGTTGTTTGGTAAGTTTCAAACCTAACAATGAAGCACTTATATATCTTTGGACAAAATGAATTTAATTTTATTTTTCGATATTATTAGGTAAATCGGAAAGTTCCGTCCATCTAGTGGCAAGTAGCTATAGCTAGAACTGTCGTTAAACTCTAATGTCTAAATGAAGCTCAATGGTTTGTTTTGACATCTGTTAATAACATTCAGTACATAAAGGTATACGTTTGCATCAATAACATTGTTTTTTACTGCATCGAAAATGTCGAAATTTGAGCCAAATAAGCGTCATTTGCGCGAAGTGTTAATCTTTTGCTTCAATTGGAAGAAAACTGCAGCTGAAGCTCATCGAATGCTTGTAGAAGTTTATGGTGATAACGCTCCTTCCGATAAAACATGCAGAGAATGGTTTCGACGCTTTAAAAGTGGTGATTTTGATGTAGAGGACAAAGAGCGTTCTGGATGGCCAAGAGTATTCAAAGACGAAGAATTGCAGGCATTGGTGGACGAAGACCCATGTCAAACACAAAAGCAACTTGCAGAAGCATTAAATTGGGCTCAAACTGTCATTTCCAATCGTTTGAAAGCCTTAGGAAAGGTTTAGAAGGAAGGAAAATGGGTCCCATATGAACTGAAGCCAAGAGACGTTGAAAGGCGAAAAACCACCTGCGGAATTCTGTTTGCTGCGCAACAAAGAAAGAGGTTTTTACATCGTATCATCACTGAGGATGAAAAATGGATTTATTTTGACAACCTCAAACGTCGAAAACCTATTTGCGATCTCGGCCAACCCTCAACATCAATGCCAAAACAGAATATCCACGGAAAGAAGGCAATGCTCTGTATTTGGTGGGATTTGGTGGGACAGAAGGGTGTGCTGTACCATGAGCTACTGAAAAGTGGTCAACCAGTTATAAGGGATCTCTACAGAGGACAAATGATCCGTTTGAGCCGAGCATTGCACGAGAAACGACTAAAATATGAAACGAGACAGCATAAAGTGATTTTGCTTCATGACAACGCTCGGTCTCACGTCACAAAATCTGTCAAGGAAACGTTAAAAGCACTTCACTGGGAAGTGTTACCCCATACGGCTTATTCACCAGACTGTGCCTTTACCGACTATCACTTGTTTCGGCCGATGGCACACGACGAATGCTTCAATTTTTATAATTTATAAAGACGTCGAAAAATGGGTCTCTGACTGGATAGCCTCTAAAGATGAGTCATTCTTCCGCCGCGGAATTCGCTTGCTAACCGAAAGATGGCAAAAAGTCATCGCTGATGATAGACAATATTTTGATTGATGTACTTTTTCATTTTGTTTCTTAAATAAAGCCATACGTTTGCAAAAAAACGGACGGAACTTTCCGATTGATCTAATAGATGGTCCGGTTAGTTTTGACGGCAAATGAAACACGTTTATGTTTGAGAGACGTTAAATTATACTTTATTCAAAATAGTTTCCATCGTTAGCTATAACTTTTTCTCACTTTTCGGGCAACAAGAGAATTTTGGGATAAAAGAAATGTTCGTCCTTCCGAGCAATCTACTCATCGAGCCATTTTTGTATTTCTTCATATGATTTGAAGTGCTGGTTGGTAAAGCTGTGCTACATAAATCGAAATAAATAGTAATCGGGAGGAAGACACAGTCTGGTGAATACACGGCATGTGGTAGGACCTCCTATTGAAGTGCCGATAATTAATCCTTAACTGTTTTGCAACGTGCGGCCGAACATTATCGCACAACAAAATCACTTTGCGTTTTCTTTGAGCTTACTGGACGTTTTTGGTTTAAAGCATCATTCAAATCGATTAATTGTTATTGATAACGCACAGCAGTGATTGTTTTATTCAGTTGTAGCAACTCATAAAATACGACATTTTTCATGTCCCAGCAAATGAACAATGAAACCTTACTTCCGTGGA